GGGTCCACTTCCAACTCCACCAAGGCCCCTATTCCCCACCCACCAGTCTGCTTCTAGGAGAGGCACCCTTTATATACATATAACATATGTGTATATATATATACATATAACATAGATGTATATGTATACATGCATATATATATGTTTTGCACTTAAATTCTGTTTGCAAACAGAATAGTATCGGAACATTGTCAAAAACCAGGGCTTCCTAAAAATAGAAAGCTATCTTTCCACCCATTCTTACGCATCGAAAGGAGTGATTAATAAAACACAGTGAAACATATGTGAAATTTCTCAAGTTTTTCCAATTATCAGCTGCTAACCAAACTAATGGCTTGAATAACGAAGAAAAATTGACCAAGCACACCACTCTGGAGAACAATTCTAGAGGGTCAAAGGAAACATTCTCCATTTCAGGCAGATTCCTAAGCATCCCCGTCCACCTCCCTCCGGCTGGACTGTAGTCCAGCTCACTACAGTTCTCCCCAAACACTGATACTGGCTTCAGACTTGCCATGTGCCATTTCACCTCCCTGTCACCGTGACTTTCTAAAATCGATACTACTGTTACTCTCAGATTACAAAGGTAGTACCTGCCACACACAGACAAGAATTCGCTTGTCCTGGGCAAGGGCTATAAATACCACAGCAGCATCCAAAAACAATTACCTGCCCCAGGACCAAAGTCGACGCCTCTCTGCCAGGGGCTCTTAATCCCAGCGATGCAGGACAAAAAGGGCACAAGTGCTAAATTAAAACATTCAACTCCTAAATCGGGTATTAGAAGACTTTTTTTTTCTGCAAAGGATGAGAGTATAAATACTTTAGGCTCTGCTGGCCAAACTATTTTGCTGCAAGATCTCAGTATCTCAAGATCGGTTTTTGTGCTGCCAACACAGTTGCAGACAATACAAAAACAACGAGTGCAACCGTGTTTCAATAAAACTTTATTTATGGATCCTGATACATGAATTTTGCATGGTGAAAAATTACATTCTTTTCATTTTTGTCAAGCATTTAAAAGTAAATTATTCTTAGCTCACAGACCATGCAATAAATGACTGCCAACTAGAGCTGGTCTACAGACTGAATTTCTGCCTACTTTTGTTCTAAGCAATATAAACTGAAATCTTTATTTCACTAAATAGCTCTTCTCACGAGTCTCATCTTCCCGTTTGCTTTGCTATTCTGGAGAGAAGTGTTCAAGTTCAAAATCTCCGTAGTCTTGACATTTTTCCCAGGTAAAGGTAAAGGTAAAGGCCCTCCCGTTGATCGTCGATTTGCTCGAGCGGGCCCAGTAACGTCTCCATTGGAGACTTTGTTGTTACTGTGTCTGGCATATTGAATTTTTCCCAGAACAGCTGAATATTCCAGAGTCCAAAACTATAGGTAATACATATGGATTTCCTAAGAATGGGAGGGAATCACAAAATTTTGGAACCGGAAGAAAGCGAACACAGTCTAATTACTTATGTGCACTTTTAAAAGTATTTCAGGTGCTCAAGTTAAAATATTTAGAGCTGTCACATGCATGTATGTGCCAAAGAGCTGGTGAACACGGCGGAGCACCTGCGACCCGAGCACGGGGCCCGCCACCACTGTGGTCACCGCACCACCACCTCCAGCATGACCCTGGGGCAGCCCCAGCAGCTGCCAAGGGAAAAGAAAGGGCTGGATGAGAAGGAAAAGCTTTACAAAGCACTTTCAGAGACAACAACACTACCAAGAAATCAATGCAGGGGTCTGAGCAGAGGGTTCGATCCCCAGCACCCCAGATGATCCCCTGAGCCCCACCAGGAGTGATTACTGAGTGCAGAGCCAGGAGTAAGCCCCGAGCACCTCCTAGCATAGCTCCAAAACAACAACCCCGAAAGTAGAAGTCAAGCAAGGGCCAGGGAGATGCAGGGAGACAGCTGAATGCACTCGGGCCCGGGTTCGCGGAGCACCCACGGCCCTCCCGGTTACAGCTCCACTGGTTCCAACACCTCTTTGGAGGTCACGAAGATTGAAAGGGGACAAAATCAAAACTGCCAAGTGTGAAACAGTCAACACTGCACATCGCTGACTCAGGTTCGATCCCCACGACCCCATGTGGTTCTCCAAAAACCGCAAGCACAAAGCCCGGAACACTGCCAGATGTGGCCCCCACATAAAAACAAACCAAAACAAAAAGTCAATGCAAGCCCTTCTCATCCCTACTTTCCCCATACAGGGGAAAAAAAAAAAGCTCGAAAATGTCAAACACCCACCAAACTCAGGGCATCCCACACAGCTGCTAGGCAGAACCGCAACCACGGCCTGCGGTCCAGTGCTCGGTGCCCAGAACATGCAGCTGGGTGAAATCCTAAAAATACTTGTGGTAAGAGAAGTAGCTCAATGGTGGAGCACTTTCCTTGCAAATGTGAAGTCCTTGGTTCGCGCTCTGATACTGCAGAGGTGGGGAAAACACTTAAAAACTATTTGGCTTTTTGTGGGGAGGAATCCCAAACAATGTCCAGAGGGCCCCGGGCGACTCCCAGGTGACACCTGGTTAACTGGTTCAAGACTTGAACTCAGCCCAGCAAGGCAATGCGGCCTGAGCCCCAAAGTGGTGGGGCTCACCCGATCCACACTTAGCGGTCCTCACGGGTCTCCAAGGCTATGCCTGGTGGTGCGGGGCAGTAGGGAATGATGCAGCACTGGGGGTCAAACTCTGGGGTCCCTATACAAGACACGCCCTCCAGCCCCTTGAGCTATCGCCTGATGCCTCAGAGTTCCTGAGACTGGCATAATCTTTAATACGTGACATGATTTTTTTTTTTTTTTGCTTTTTGGGTCACACCCGGCAATGCACAGGGGTTATTCCTGGCTCTGCACTCAGGAATTACTCCTTGTGGTGCTCGGGGGACCATATGGGATGCTGGGAATGGAACTCAGGTCGGCCGTGTGCAAGGCAAACGCCCTACCCGCTGTGCTATCGCTCCAGCCCCAGACATGAATATTTTTAAGAAACATTTCGGTCATTTCATTTCTCTTCTACCATCATGGAAAGGAAGAGCAAAACAGAGAAAGAAAGAAAGAAAGAAAGAAAGAAAGAAAGAAAGAGAAAGAAAGAAATCTTAACATTTGTTAAAATCATCTGCAGTCCACAGTGACTATAAATATATACCCCGAAAATAAGACACTCAGGCCAGCTTGGAAAGAGAAAATGCTAACGAACTCATCTAAAGAGCGAATCTGAGAGAGAGAGAGATGAATTCTATGGGGAAAGCTTCAGTCCAACTACAGACTAGCATCTTGGTGACTGGAAATCGAAGTGGGGGTTGTGAAGGAAAATCAAAGGGACATAACGACTGGGATCCCAACCAACATCAAAGGCTCCAACCAACGACAGACAATCGTGCCTGCCCAGCTGCTCTTGGCCTCTCCCTGGAAAAGCAAACACTTATATAACCCAAGAAGGTCCTTCCCACCCACCTCGGAGTGCCCACTTGCACAGTTCACAGGGCTGCACCCAGGCTCCGCGTGGACAAGTCCCTGTCCAAAGTGCTGCTTTATTCCATGGGCTGCCCAGCGCCAGGGAGGACGGAACTTGAACACACTCCCTCCCCGCGGGCACCTGCTCTAGAAACCTGTTCCATAAAGCATCATCACACGGCCCGTTTCTGAAATGAAGCAGCCTACCGAGAGTCCGAAAAGACGCAAATCGCCCCAGCCCGACGGTCGGCCCGCGCCAACGGTTGCCCACCAAGCAGCGCTGGGAAGCGTGGAGGTCATGATCCAACGGCAATGAAGACTTCTTATTTTCTTCCCGCGCAACTCCGATGGGCAGATGCCAAGCTTCCCAGGTTGCATTTTATCCCAACAGGAAAAACCAAAAAAAAAAAACAACAAAAAAAAAGCAGGCCAAGGAATCAGGGCCGTCCCTACCCAAACACAACAAATCCGATGACTGCATCAAAACTTGGCCCATTTTCCTGGCCTCTGCAGAAGTCTCTGGACTTCAACCCCACTCTCTTCTTTTTTTTTTTCCGCCCCCAACAGACGCACAAACACGGACCACGTTCCCCAAAGCCACCAACGACGACGACGCAGCCCGAGCTATTCCCATTCGGAGCGACTTGAAAGGTCTCGGTGGGCGCCCACTAAAACTCTGGAAGAATGGGAAATAAAACAGACAGAGGCTGGCGACAATGCCGAGTGTGCCCAGCTGCCGGCGACCCGCATCACGCGGGGGGGCCCCCCGGAGCGCCTTCCCCGCGGACTGCGCGACCCCGCATGCAAATGGAAATGACCATCATCCCCGTCCTCTCCCCTAGGAGAGGCAGTAACTGTCCAACTCCATCCCGGGCCTCCCGCGCCGGGATCCCTCCTCCCCCTGCAGCTCCCCGCAGCCTCGGCCCCAGAAGGTGAAGTCGTGGGGGTGCGGGGGGCACGGTGGGAGCTGGGGGGGGGGGGGGCGGGGGGGGCCCAGAGGCTCGGCCAGGGGAGAAGCGCGCCTTCCCTCTCCGCCCCCACCCACCCCGCGCCGTGCGATCTGTTTGCGGAAACCTCGCACGCAAATATTGATTCAAGTCGCCCCAATGCGAAAGGCGCGATAAGGGGGTGGCGGGAAAGGGGGCGGGGAGCGCGCGCGCGCGCGCGCGCGGGGAGAAACAGACGCGAAACCCCGGAGGCCGCTCGGGTCCGTCGCGCCCGAGGGCGAGTGGCCGGCGGGGTGGGGGCGGGGTGGGGGGTCGCGCGCGCAGGCCCCCGGGGGTCGCGCCCCGCCGGGTGGCCCCTCCGCCGCGGCGAGGCGGCGTCCCCGGGGCCCCCCTCCGCCTTCCCGGGGAGCCGCGGCCCGCGCGGCGCCCGAGCGTCAGGCCGGGGCCCGGGGCCCGGGGGCGGCGGGGGCTGCAGCAGGCCGGCCGCGGGTCCGAGCCCCGCCCCCGCGGCTCCGGGAGCGGGCCGGGGGACCCCCGCCGGGGCGGCGCGGACCCGCGACCCTCGACCCCCGGCCCGCCCGCCGCCCGCCGCCTTACCGAGCCCCGCGGCCCCGCCGCGCCGCCGCGGCGTCGCTGCGCCCCGCTCGCCGCTCCGTGTCTGCCGGCCGCGGGCGCCGGGCCCGCCCGCTCCGCCGCGCGCTCCGCCGCGCCTAGCGCCGCGCCGCCCGGGGCCGCCGCGGGGGCTCGGCCGGGCGCCCCCCGCGCCAGCGCCGCATCGTCGCGCCTCGCCGCCGCGGCCGACTGGGCCTGGCGGGCCCCGCAGCAGCAGCAGCAGCAGCAGCAGCGCCGCCCGGGCCGCCCCCGCCGGCGCCGCCTCCGCCGCCCGCGCTCCGCCTCCGCCCGCGACCCGCGGCGCCCGCAGCGGGGAGAAGAGGCGCGCGCCCGCCCGCCGCGGGCACGAGCACGCGCGCGGAGGGCGGGAGCAGCGGGCGCAGCGCGCGCGCGGCCGGCGGGGCGGGGGCGCGCGCGGGCCTCGCCTGCCGTTGTCCCGGGAGCGCACGTGCGCTGCGTGGGGAGCGCGGGGCGCGGGGCGCGGGGCAGCCCCCGGGGCGCGCGCGCCGGGCCGCGGAGCAGCTGCCCGCTGGGCCTCGCGCTCGGGCGGACTTCGGCTCTCGGCCCTCCGCGTGGTGCCGCGGTGCAGAAAAATTGAGGATTTTTTTTTTTTTCTTTCCAAATCCTGCCGCCGCTGCAGGGACAGCGGGGGAAAAGACGGGCTCGGAGGCCGTGGCCGGGGGTCCTCTGGGCTCCCCGCCGACCCCACCCCCTGCCCTGCATCCCCACCCCCTGGTGACTGTCACCGCGCGCGCAGCGCCGGGAGAGTCAGCCCAGCCTCTCTCCCCACCGTGGGCCTTTGCCTCTGAAATCAGCTCGCCTCGGTTGCTCAGTGGCCCCCCTCGGCCTTCAGGTTCCTGCAGGTGCCTCCTTTCTGGAGTTTGGGACCGACCGGCAGATGTGAAGGGACGGGCAGGGGTGAGGAAGGACGGACGGACACGAAGGGTTGCAAAGGGAGCCACCTTCGGGGTGCGAAGTCGCACCCCACCCCTTCCTTCTGTTCAGCCTCCAGGGCTGCGCTGTGCTGGGGGCCTGTCGCAGTCACTCTGTAGTTTGCTATTTCCAACCCCCCCACCCCCCATAGGTACCTTTCACTCCCGACTCAATTCAGTGTCCGGGAGGGGACGGGGTTAACCTACATAAGCTAATTCAAACCTCCAACAGTGCGTCCCTTCAGGTCACTGCAGTGCCTGGGGTCCACTCAGCATCTGATATTTCAGTGGGAGCATCGGAGAGAAGTGGCATGACCTTGACCACACTTCCCCGCACTTCAAGGACAAGTCCGAGGCAGGATTTTACGACTTCCTGCAGAGAAAGTAGGGAGTGAGCGCTTGTACGACAATTCCACTCTCTCTCACCAGCCTCAGGATAACCAGTTTCTTCAAAGACCAGACTCTGAACGTTTCCTAGCAGAGAACAAGAGAGGGGATGGGGTAAAGGGAGGGGACAAAGGGACAGACCTGGGGTGGGGACATTTACAGGAGCCTGCTTCGAGGAAATGAGGTGATTGTGCTGGAAACTTAAGATCAAAAAAAGGTCAGGTGAGAACTTCCTAAGTGCTGGAGAAACAGCAGGCAAGCTTTTCCCAAGGTTTGACTGTCCTGAACTGCAAGAATGACATCCTGTACTCTCTTAAAGAGGACTTTATACAATGCTGGGGCTGACTCAGCAGCAGAGGGTCTGCCCTGCAAGCCCAATCAAAGCTGATGGTTTGATCCCCAGTACAATTCCATGAATCCAGTGCAATCCCTGGCAACACAAATGTTCGATATCTCGTGCACCACAACTCAAGCCCCACAAACCCAAAGCTTGGCCATTGTACCCTAAGATTCAGGCCAGGAATGTGGCTCAGTATAGAGTCACCTTCCTTGTATGAAGTTCTGGATATGCTCCCCCACCCTGCAAAAAAAAAAAAGATAAAAGGAAAAAAAATATGGCATTCAACTGCAGAGGTTGAATATGAGATGATTTCCACTCAGCAGGTGAAGAAAGTGAATAATAAAAGAGCTCGGATCCTATTTTTCCATCGACTGACCTACATACTTGACTTCAGAGCCTCAAAACATGTTGGTGACTTTCCCCCTGTTTGGATTATATCTGGTACAGAGAAAGAACAAATGGATTCTGCGTGTGTATTCCAAATGTCAGAGGTGTTTGAACAGAGCTCAAGGGTGCCCGTGCTCTTTCCCCCCCGTTCTGAGCCAGCACTCTCTGTCCTTGGAAAGAAGCATCCAAATTCCCCCATGAGTAAGTCGTCGTTCTTGCTAAGCCTGCAGAGAAACTCAAGGTTGGGATTTCCGGGCAACTCTCCGGCCTTATGTATGCACTTGATGTCTGTAATGAGTTAACCTCAGCCCTAATAACACTCTTAGTGATTCAGTAGCTCTGGCCCCCAATCGCCACGTTCCCTAGAAAAGAAAAAGCAAAGTGTCCCCTCTCTGCCACTGGCGCCAGCCTCATCAGCCTGGCCTCCTTTCCTGGCCTTGGCACTGTCAGCTTCCGGGCGGTGGCACCTGAGCTCACTGCTGGCATCTCTCCTGGGTTGTGCACTGCAGTGGCCTCCGGGCACAGAAGCAGCATCACCGTGCAGAGCAGCAGAGCCAGACAGGATGGCTGGCCGCACGGAGGTCTGCACCCTTCCTTGCCTAACCTTGAGCTTCAGGGAGCGCCTGGGAAGAGTTCTTAGGAGAGCGGCACTGCCCAGGTCCTCCCAACTGAACGCTCTGCAGCTGGCCTGAGAAAAGTGAGTTGCTAAAAGAGGCCCAGGTTGACATTTGACAATGTCTCATTGTTTGTCTCCTGGCATGGGGGCTAGCTCCATCTTGGGTCCCCAGAAAAGTGAGCAACTAGGAGTGATAGCACAGTGGGTAGGGCGTTTGCCTTGCATGTGGCCGACCCGGGTTCAATTCCCAGCATCCCATATGGTCCCCTGAGCACTGCCAGGAGTAATTCCTGAGTGCAGAGCCAGGAGTAACCCCTGTGCATCACTGGGTATGACCCAAAAAGAAAAAAAAAGTGGGCAACTAAGTAGAATTGTTTTATTGCAATGCCAGGGATCGAACTCAGAGCCTCACCACAGACAACATATGTACTCTTCCCCAAGCCACCTCCCTCATCTGACAGCAAAAGACAGATTGCAAAAAACTGGGTAGCATGTTTCAACTGCCCGTGGATGCCCATGGAGTAATCTCTCTAAACACCCAACCAGGACAAATACGAAGAGGACAACATGTCAAGAAGCATCTTGAGCCCTGTTCCCAGGAGATGGCAAATCTCTCCCTCCTCTTTTGGGTCCATTTTCTTCTTTAGCCTCTAGCAGGAGAATTTAGAACTTTTGCTTCTCCCGCAATCTTTTTTTTTCCCACCGACTTTAGCCTTAACACCATCTGTAGCTATACATTTGCTTTTGAATACATCAGCCGGATAGGAGCTCCCTGGCGGACTTCTCCTCTGGGTCTTCCTTTTGCAGAATTCTAAATGCTGACTCCTCCTAGCCTCTGACCTTGGGCCCTTCCCGTTCTCTTTGCTCCCATGCAGGGTGACCTCTCCTAGCCTTGGGCTTTAAATAGCCCGCTCCAAGGATGTATATCTTTAACCCTGACCTCTCTCCAGCAATTCATGCTCATATATCCAGCTGCCTACGTGACAGTTCCCCCTTGGATCCTCCAACCTCATGTGTTCCCAACAGAACTCTTGATATTTTTTTTTCTCCACAATAAAGACAAATCCAAAACATGCTTCCTTCCAGTCTTCCCCATCCCAGAACAAAACACGACTTTCACACACCTAATTTCAGCACCTAATTCTTCTAGCTTGCCCTTGGAGCCATACGGCGAATGCAAGTTCTTTCTTCCTTCCCAACCACTAATACCCACGTCTGCCCCTCGAATCTGTCTCGGGGTGACTAATGGTCTCCTTTCCCCTCCGTGGTCTAGTCTGAACTCAGCAGCCAGGGGTTAGCGTTGAAAGTGTTAGTGAGATAACATAATTCCTTCTGCTCAGAACTCTGCTGGGCTCTGTGCTGGGACGCACACTACCGCAGAATCCATGTCATTGGATTCACAACGCCATCAAATCCACGCCCTTTCTCAAGCCTTGCCGTGACTTTCAACCCGACTCGCCTCCCCAACTCTTGGACTTCTCTCTCTCTGTGTCATTTCCCCTGCCCTTCATTGTGTTGTAGCCATGCACTAGAGTTCTCACACCCAGTTGCAGTCCTGCGGATTACTTGGCAGGGCTGCCAATTGTGCAGGCATGTGGGAAGGTGCTGGGGACTGAACTTGCAGACTCCGAGACACCAGGCAGACACTGTCCCAGAAGCACATCCCTAGGCCCTTACCTCTTAACATTCACTCTGCTCCAGCGTTGACACGAGCCTCCCACTCTTCTCCAAACCCACAGGTCACTTCTTTTCCTCACTGCTAGGAGCCTAAGCCCCTGGACATGCCAAACATGCATCCACCACCCCTGAGTGACACTTCTTGTGAAACATCAAGAGGCATTTCTTCCTGCCTTTCCAGTTAAGCTTCTCAAGTGCTATCTAAAATAGTTCTGCCTCTGCCCCTTACTCGGAGTTTTTGTTTGTTTGAGGGCCATAACTGGCAGTGCTCAGGGATTATTTCCAGTATGTTACTCAGGGACCAGTCTTGGCAGTGCTGGGAAATCACACATGAAATCACACATGCCAGGGGTCAAACCCAGCCTGCCACATGCAAAGCAATAACAATCCCTTTCCTTTTTCTTTTTTCGTAAGCGTCAGGGATCAAACCCAGGTCTTCACACATGTAAGGTAAGTTCTCCTCCACAGAGTCACAGCCGGCCCCTTCTGGTTTTCTTAAATAGCACTTAATCATGAAGTGATACAATCGTGTTGGTTATGGCCCTCTCATGTGCTCCATGAAGTCAGGGACTTCATTTGTTCACTATTATGTCCTTGTTGACAAATGAATGCATAAATGGAGGACATGGAATCTATACGCCCACCTAGTTTCCACTGTTGCCACAGAAGTACCTGACACTTAGTGCCCAACAGACAATGGCTAATTATAAGATTATGTAACTTACATAAT